TATATATATATATATCGTTACAGAATCGTCACAAAATAGCTCGAACGTGTTCCCTTTCCTTTTCGATGAAAGCGTGACCCAAGACGGAAATCAAAGTATAGTATACAGGGTGCTCCAAAATATCGATCGAAAGTATCTTCGTTTCGCGAGAAACCGACTCGAGACTCCATATTGCGTATAAAAACTAACGTAACTTTCTCTTGCATTTTTTTTTTTTTTCTCTATTACGATCACTTGCATGAACGTTAAACGCTACGTGTATATACATTTTTGTTCGAAATCTTAGGATGGATGTTGTATTTTCCACGATATTTCGACATTTTTGAAAATATTATTTAATCTTCCAATGTCTCTAATTTAAACTTAATCGTACGATTATTCTAGATACGAGAATTAATAACACGAAATAACTTTACATATACATATTTTATAAATTATTGTAAAAATTTTCATTCGAGATTTTCTGTGTTTGCTGTTCAAGGATTTGATGCAATAATTTTAAATTCAGTTCAATATGTCATGGATAAATTTTTTTTATAGAAAAATCGGTTTTTAAACAAGCAAGTTGTATGTACGTCTCGTAGAACACGTTGTATCTATGAAAAAGTTGTACATTCGCAAAGCCCGCACTTCTTTCTCGCCTCCTGCATTCCGCGACGCGCCTCGTTAGACTTGACACGTATTACTTTGCATTCTCATAAGCGTTATACCGTCCTGCCTTTCTCATCGACCAAGAACTGGTAAAGGATTAACGCGATCGTGGAATTTTTAATCGAGAAGGAAACTTTGCGGACGACAACACTCGTATCAACCGAACAGAATAACTAATGCTTTGAATCTAATTTCTTGGTTAGCAAGGCTAATCGTCGAATATTACACAGTAACGATAGCGATAGAAATAATAGCAACAATGATAAAAAACAAATAGGCTAAAATCAATTTCGAAGTGGAGGATATGCGTAATATACGAGAGCGATATGGTCGAGCGAATAATTTCTAACATAAACAGAACGACATCCCTCGATAGTAAGCATACCTTCGCGTGCGCGAGGCGTGCGCGAGTTTCATTGACTCTCGAGTTATTGAACGTGTTCCATCCAAGTACAAGCTGTTCGCTGCATTACGATTGCGTCCACGAGAACAAAGGTCAACGAACAAGAGATTATCTTTGGACAAGATCCTCGAATAAAATCAACAATGAGAGAAGAAAGAGAAGGGAGACACGTGCGATATCGAAACGATTCTTAGAGAACGTAGAGAACTCGTTTTAGGCGACGTCCCGATCGAAAATCATATTCCGCTCTCGTCCCATTTTGTTCCGTGGCTAACCGAGCTTACGAACGTAAAGCGGATTTCACAACTATGACCATCGAGCAAAAAGTAACGTTAACCGCAAGGAATTACTTTTACTCGGTACAGATGAGACTGTCCATTCGGATCACGTGGTCCAGAAACACGTGACAGCATCCAAGTTATTAGCAATTAACGTTGAACGATGTAATAAAGATCTATGATCTACGAGTCCTTTTTCTAATTGCTTTAGAAGAACTCGTATTTCATCACGATGAAAATTACTGGTAATAACGTAACTCTCGTATAAGGTTAAATTATAGGATAAATGTTTGGACAAACTTATTAAATTCATTCTTTGAAACTACCGAATTTAAACGCAATGTTTAAACGCGTTTAGAATCCCCACGCGAGTCGATTAGTCAGCATAATTAACAATTGTCAAAAGATTGAAACTCGTTACGTACAAAGTGAATCGAAATCGATTCACGCTGACGACGCAATCGTGCAATTTCATGATTGTTATTTAAACATTTTATTTCCTGTTTCATTGATTACGTAAAAAAAATTATGATAAGGAATGTTCCTTCTGTCAAATGTTTTATAATTTTTTCAACGAGCGATCGAAACGTTTTATCATTGACACGAAAGTGAAATACATATGTTCTCTTAAGAATATTCCCGCCAGTAGGAATATTTCCTTCGTGACCGCGTTACGTTAAAGAGAGAGAGAGAAGAAATAAGAAAGAGAAAGAACGAGCTTCAAATCCACGATTATTTCCGCACGACAAAACCGCGCTCTGTCAACCTGCATATTTCACTGTCCGCAATACAAACACGAAACAGACAGAGAGACAAAACAAGGAGGGAGTAATAAAAAAGAGAAAGGTATGATAATTACCAAGGAGTCGTCCCCATTGTCAGCGCTCATAGCCCACCGCTAGCGCGAGGGAATTCGAGATCGTCGTCGTGGTCGTCGTCTTCGGTCCTCTTCGCCGCCCTTCCGATAGAACAACCTTGCACTCGTCATTCTGCAGCATATCCTAAATTCGCAGGACACTCGAAGGACTCGTTAATATACACTAATGATAGCGCCTCACACCTGTCATCTGACATTGCAGCAACGACGCGACTTGTGATACAATGGTTAACGTGTATAGAAGGGACGAGATAGAAAAAGACCGAATCGAGAAAGGGCAAGCGTAAGAGAGAGAGGAACAAAGAGAGAGGACACTGACACACGAAACGTCAACGACACTAGCACGCCGTCGTGTTAACCGTTCTCACGAAAGCGTCGCGAATTTTTGAACTACGCCATGAACATGAATCCCCGCACCACACATCGAATCGAACTCGATCTCTTATTTTCGCGTTTCAACGATCGAACGGGAAGAAAAAAAGTCGAATAATAAATTTACCGCACCAATCGAACTACCGTACAGGCTCACGGGCAAGCGCTTACTTCCAGAGACACTCGACTCGAGAACTACTAGTGCTTTCCCTTCCATCGCGTCGTCCCCACTCCTCGCGGCATACGAACAGGAAGAAGAAACGAGTCATTTAGAATCGAACTAGTTTGCCACGTAGAACATCACATGAATTACCGTTTTAAAAACCGATCGTTTGTGCACTCGCGCTTTCGAATATGATTTATATTTCGAAAAATAACGAGAAAAAACACCACCGCGACACGAACAGGATTCCCGCTATGGACGCCATATTGAAACTAAACGTGCGCGCGCATCTATAATTTCAGATACATAATTTGAATTATTTAGCGGGCTATTTAAATTTTCGTTATAAAAACTTATTAAAATTTATATAGTTATTTTAAGTAATATTAATTTCTAATATTTCGTAAGACTTCTCTCTTCGTTCGTATGAATAATAATAATAATAATAATAATAATAATAATAATAATAATAATACACGTTAGTGTCTTTTAATCGCATATTATCGCAATAAATAAGAACAAGTATATTAAATATAGAAAGAATATTTTTGCATAACGTTATGTGAATATTACCGGATATCCTATGCAATTAACATGACTTATATGACAGGATCGTAATACGGATCAAGGTACAATACATAGAAAAGAATCACATAAAACATTAGTTTTTGCCAACTATTTCCAACGTAACAAATGAAGGAATTGAAGGATCATGGTATCATGAATATAAAAGGACGAAATAACAAAGAACAAAAAGACGCACACATAATAAGACAACACATTACACGACAGACAAGAGACTTTTTCACAACATTTAATAAAACGCTATCAACTATGTATGCCTTTTTTTTACTCAAATACTCTAAAAGTTACTTACATACGTGTAGTTTATATGTATATTTATGTTATACGGAGGTGTCACATCCCTCGCAACATCTTAACTCTTTAAATCTACGTCTCCCTCTCGTTTCTTCTATTTTCGAAAATGAGATTTCGTTATCATTGTACACTGACAACAAACGTAACGATTTTAGGCACCAATCAGCGACGATGAACACAGTGTAAAACACGGAAATAGAAGATCGTCAAAAGTGCTTGGGAGCTGACACGTCCAATAAGTATGTATAAATTTAATACTAGCGTCGTTATCATTGTTTTCTTATATGTAATATTTCAATTAATCGTGGGTATAGCGATCAACGTCCCGGGATGCTAAAGAGGTCTGTGTCTGAAAATCTACAAGGTGAGTAACAATGGGTGTGCAAAAGAATATCTGAATACGATATATTTACCATTAGACTTTGTTTACTATAGTTTTTGAAAAAATTAAAAAACTTCGCGCAGATTTGTTTTTATTTTGTTCATGTTAACGATTACCTTGAAATTGCAAAGACTGAAATTGAGCCATTGATCAAACCATTGAGAAAAGACAAAGACAAAGAATTCTTAATAAAGAAAGAAAGAAAGAAAGAAAAAAAAGAAAAAAGAAAAAAACCTATACTTTTTTTACACAAAAAAAATTCACTTTTTGTTACATTTTTGTAGAATGTGCGTGATATTAAAAAGGGAATGCAATTTCAAGGTATCAATACAAAAAAATGAGAAAAATATACGAGGGCTTAAATATTATGTGTTCTGTAGACAGCGTGCGCTTCGTATGCCAACCAACTATGATCTCTCTCTAACATTCGAAACATGTACATCCATATGTAATCCCAATGCGCGTGCATTCATTACAACACGAGAAAGTAAGTCAAGTCTCTATCTTTTATCATCATCCGTTGATTGAAAAAACCATTCAAACTCGATCCCTTACTAACTGGCATAAAAAAGTCCCATAATTTATTTTCTTAATCTACGATCCTGGCAAATTGCATTTTCATATGCAATTGGGTATCACAATCGCTCATATTTTCGTGGTCGTAATATAAATGTGTTTTTGTCTGTGTACATGCATATGTTCTTTTTTCTTTTTTTTTTTTTTTTTTTTTTTCCTTTTCTGATCAGCAATGCGAACATCTTTCGATTCCGCTGTCGCAATTAAATATTAAGTTTTTCGCCATCGCCGCTGTCGCACGGATTCGAAAACTTGTTTTATTCTTTTTTTCTTTTTCTTTTTTTAAAAAGACGCGAGACCCGCGTTCCTATGATTAAAGTATTAAAGTTAAGTATTATAAACTGCAATCTAAGCTGATCCCATATGTTGTTTCTTGGTCACAACCTCGTTGAATTTGTTCTGTAACTGTATACAGAATTCTTGTCGGTTCAAGGAGACTGTTCATGAAGATTTTCGACGAAGACCTTTCCTCGAAAATCCTTCACCGAATTGGCGGCCCTGGATTCTCTTCACGTTTATTGAGAGCATCGTCTTATCCGTTCAATCAATTACACAATCGATGATTTTATAATAAAGGAACAACAAGGACGATGTCTCAAAGTTCCATCCCGGGCGGACGCACACGTATCCGCGTAATTTTTCTAACGACATCCACGGGACTCGTCGTAGTTATAACCGCGAGTGATTCTCGAGGAGAACACTTGTTCTATTCGAAAATCACATAAACAATTTACTCAGATTTATCTAACGCATGGAAGGATAACTGGTTAAAATTCCAGTACCTTCTTATCGGGATACTTCTTCTTTCTTATTTTTTTTCTTTTTTTTTTTTTTTTTTCTTCTCTTTTCTTTTCTTTTATTCGCGAGGTTTTCGACGAAAACTTGTCGAAATTACTCTATTTTTCATTATAAATCACTATGGGTCAAAAACGGACTTTTGACGGACTTGCACATAGACAATTCATCGTATCTACAGTTTGACCTAAGCGGATACAGTCTCAACCATTGATTTTTTTATGATCTCCCCAAAATTTTCGTCGCACTCCTCTGTACTTTCCGATTGTTGTTCGTTAGCTTGATTCTTCTCCACCTCAACCTTGGTTCCATTACCGTGATAAGTACTGTGCGGTTGAGGCTCCATTTCACCGTAATACGAATATCTACCAGACAAAAGTTCAGAAAATGGTTCTAGTTTACCCATCTGTTGAACCACGGTATTCATCGGCTGTACCGAATTTAAATTTGTATATTGTGATCCGGTTGTTTCATCTTGCGCAAAACTAGTTTCATAGGTGGAAGTATGTTGTCCGGGATGGACCTGGCAGTTCCCCTGAATTGATCCGGTATCTTGTCCGTAAGGCGCGTAGTGTGAGAACCCTGCATTTCCTGGCACCGTTTGGAATTGCGGCTGAAATTGCACCCTAGATGTGGAAGGAAGGTTAGCGTAAGGCTGATAATCCTGATAAGGAGGCTGTTGAAAGTTAACCCCGGCACTTGTTTGCCCCGAGAACGTTTGAAAAGCTTGACTAAATTCAGGATGAAGTTTCCTTTGAGGTCCCTGCGTACCGTCAACAGTGTCTTCGCTAGGATAACAATCATCTCTAATCGCATACAAATCCAGGCTATCCTCTCTAGTACCGGACACTTCTGGCTGACAATTTGTCCCGCCATCTCTGGCGTCGTGATTCTCGTAATGCAGCGTCGTAAATCCACCGCCGTTCAGGCATGATTCCGTAGTCCTATTCTCCATCACGGATCCTAAATTGATCTCTCGTAACGGACTTCTACCGTTTTGATTGTCGGAAGCGTCATGATCCGCGCCTTCTTCCTCTTCTCGTTGCTTTTTCTCTAACTCCAATCGCATCAGCGTGTGAATGAAATGCGTTCGTACTCGTACTGGATTAAACTCGATCCTGCCTGAACTATTTGCACAACCATCGCGGGTACATCCGCAAGGGAAACCCGCTCTGTCAACCTATTAACACACATTGCAATCATTCACTTGTTCTTTTTCTCTTTTTCCATAAAAAACTCTTACCATATATATATATATATATATATATAACGTTCATCTACTAACCTGGCACTTTACATTAGCTCGACTACAAGGACAGCTCTCGGGATCGCAGTATCCTTTACACCCGCAACCACAATGCTCTCTGCTAGCTCTAATATCGCGGCACTCGTCCTTCTCGACCGCGTCTATTCTACGTACTCCTGCTGCCCTAAGTAAAGCTCGTCTCTGCCATGTAGGCACTGGTTGCAGGAAGTAATAACTATCGATATCCAGATCCTCGTTATCACTTTGCTCCTCGTCCGTATCGTCGCTAGGATCCTCAGAACTGGAGGCCGCTTCCGATACGCAATTTGCAGCACGCTCGGAGCGTAATTGAGCTAGCCTAGCACGATGAATTCGCCTCTGTTCGGCAGCGTGCTCCGATAACGAGAATCGTTCAGCATGAGTGTGAGTTGCGCTCATGCCAAGAGTGCTGCCACCCTGAGAACGATAAATCGATTTAGCATATATGCTGTATTCGTACGTACTGTATACCATTGAATACGTATATAAATGCGGATATAGCGTATGTAATAAAATTTACAACGAGATAAAATCTATATACCTGAGAAGGTACACAAGTAAAACCCTGTGCCCTGGGAAAATAATAAACTGTGACCGCGTCGAACTGAATATTGCGTTTCTTTTTCATGGATTCATCCGTATTGCTCCTCTTTGGGCTAGGAACCCCTTCCATACAATCCATCAATCTTCGTTTCAGATTACTCTTCGAAGGACTGCGAAAATTCGTCAATGGCGTCTGCGGCGTATCGGGTACATCCACGTTCGGTACAAAGCTATCCAATTGATTCACTGCTGAAACAGAACGTCGTCATATTTCCTTCTTGCTTGTGGACAAAAATTATCGTGATGTTGTTGAACTTTAACAAAAGTGATTTGACTACGTAAAAATGGAGAAGAAAATTGTATCGTTCGATTACCTTTCTCTTTGTCGGAAAGAATATCATCCGGTATCCTATCTAAGAACGAGGTCTCGGAATCGCTTTCCGGCACCGGTGCAGGCCCTGGATCACCAGGAATCTCGCTCCCCAGACCAGAATCGCTTCCATCCGATCTAACTTCATCTCGTGCACCGGTGGCAAGGGCCAAACTTTCCGCTGAATCTTCGGTGAAAGGTTCCGGCCTCTCCGGTTCCAACCTCGATATGATCTCCGGATTAATGTCGACGCAACAAATGGACTCGCTCTCTTGACAGGATATTTGGTCGGAAGCAGCGTCATCGTCGCATCCACCGAGACGTACGTTCGTCATGCTCGACATTTCAGAACTATCGGAACCAGTCTCGGTTTCCGTCTCTGTATCGATAGCTTCTGCAACGTCCGCAGTAGATTCCAACAACTCCTCCGGAGAGGTGGGTCTCGTCGCCTCGATCGGATCCAAATTGCTCAACGTTTGTAGATTCGCGGTGGAAGGAAGAGGGAATGAAAACACGACCTCCTCGTCCTCGGCCAACTTTTCTATTATCGCCCTCGGTGCCGCCGTCTCTTCCAACGCCTGTTGTTGGATCGTTGTCATCGTTCTCGCCGTTTTCGGCAACGTTATCCTCTGCAACAGCACCTTGCATTCCTTAATGGGGGTGGAGGTGAAAGATGACTCTAATTTTTCTCGCGCGGTGGATACTAGAACGGAGTCTACTTGTTTCTCCTGGTCCTGGGACTCAGTCTTTTCATCACTTTCGCTCGTGTAAGTGCACAATGGGACGAAACACTGTAACGATTCCTTGGGATCGGTCCTTACGTCTACGTTACCGGCATCGTCCTTGCATTCCTCGCTAGTTTTCTTCTGCTTCCTCTTAGGTACGATTACCATACGCTTGCTCTTATCTTTCCTTTCGGCCGCCAAGTAACGGGACAAATCGATCTGTTCCACCTTAACTATTAAATTGGGTAACGAATTTTTTATCAGTTCGTTAGAGGTTTCGTCGCGCGTAACAGCGCAAGCATCGCCGGCAGGCATGGTGTCGTTGCACGAGCACTCGTCGTCGATCGGCTCCTCGCACTGTTTCGGCTCCTCGCACTTTTTAAGATTCCTCTCGGGGCTGTCGCGAGACAGGGAACAACAGGAATCCTCGTCGATGAACGGGTCCGGGTACTCGAGCTTTTCGCCCTGCTCTGCCAGCGCCTCCTCCACGCTCCCGCTGGTACATTCACCTTCCAACGATGTCGCCACTCTGCACATCCTGCGTTCCGCGGTGTCCGTGCAATCTGTCGCCTCGGTATCGTGGTCCGAGGCTTGAAAAGAATCGTCTAGGCTCGTCGACAATCTACAGTTAGTGCTCGTCAACAAATCATCGAGGATCCTGTTGTTTCTCGGCACGCATCGACTGCCAACCTCGCTGTCGAACAGGCACGAGTCCGAGGACAACGATATCTCGCCGAGGGTGCGCTCTCGAAGAGAGACCAACACCGGCGAGATCCTCCTTACTTGATTAGACTCGTTCTCGGGCATCTCGACGCCGATTCGCTTGATCTCCGCATTGATCGGCAGAAAATCGGTAGCCGGTCTCTTTCTGCATATCGGCGACGAGGTGACGAATTCCCCGTCGCTCGTTTTACAGTACTCCGTCGTCTGTTTCTCGCTGACGCACTGAACCATCGACGGCGGCGACGGCGATAACGTTGCCGATGACGACATTGACGTCGTAGATGCCGTCGTCTGCGATGTCGTACATATCGTCGTCGACGTCGCCTCTAAACAATCTTGTTGTTCGACTTCGATTGATTCGTTCGATTTCACTTCTACGTTCGCATCCACGTCTTCGTCCTCGGATCGTTTCTCGTTCTTCCCCAATTTAAGACCCATGTCGGAGAAATCTAGTTGACCTTCGCCGGCCGAAGAGTCGTTCGAGGTCTCGAGAGAAGCGAGCGAAGCCTCGCACGATTCTACATTGACAAACGTATCCTCGTTTTCCTCGATGGATTCACCAACGACGACGACATCGCGCATATCCTCCTCGGCCGCAGTCGTCAAAGAACCGACATCTTCGTCACTTCGTTCCGTTGATTCGGCGGTTGTAGACGGCTCCTCCGTCGACGCGGACGTTGTTGCTTCCGACGACGATCCCGCCGAGGTGAAATCTTCTTGGGCCTCGATAAGACGGTCCTGGGCCGAAGGCGATTCCATCTGGAGCGTTTGATCTGCGTTGAATGAGAGAAACACCAAAAAATTCGTTAAATTCGGCGCGTGCATATCGTAATTAGAGATATTTAGAGAACAAACATCGCGAATTAAAAGAAACGTATCTTATCTGTCGAATCTCTCTCGTCGCCTCGAATGGACTCGAAAGATTCAAAATGATCGAAAAACGAATTCGAGGAAAGAAATTGCGGGGAGAAAAGATATTGTGGAATAACAGATCCAAGTTCGATGGACGTCACACCACCACCACCAGGATCGATTCATGCCATTTTACGTCAATACTACTACTCTACTACTATCCTCGTCGTCTCGTTTCATTTCAACGTGTAACAATCATGTTCTCCGCGTTGCTTCTTTTCCTCGAAATATCATAAGCAAAGGGGACGAAGAGGAGGATGGAGGGATCAATAATCCGCGCGCCGATACCGCGCACCGGTAAACCGGAGGAGAAAGACACAGTGGAATGCCAACACGGAGGAGGGGGGAAAAAAAAATAAATAAATAAATAAATCGGGCATATCCCGAAAATCTAATCCATAGTTTTCTACGCCCTCCTCTCGCCGATTCACCATCTTGCGTGTGTCGCCGATCCCACGCGCGTATCACCCCGTGACTTTAATCCGTCGATATCTTTCTTATCGGGCCACCGAATATAAAAGGGACTCTGCATATAATCCTGGCCGGAGATTATTGATTCAAAGCTGGCAGGAAAAGAGGGGTGGGGTGGGTTGAGGAAAGGAGGGGGAGGGGGAGGTTTCTGTCTGCCTTCGGTTACCATGCGCACCTTGTATCCCTTATATACCCCAGAAAACTCTGCAACTTAACCAGGTGTAAACGGGTTCTTGGTCTTCCGTTTCTCCGTTTCGTAATATCTTTTTTTCTTTCTTTTTTCCTTCTCTCTCTTCTTTTTTTTTTTTTCTTTTTTTTTTCTTTTTTTTTTTTACCTTCGAGCCACACGATCTTGCGTCCCCACCTTCCACACCACTCTGTCCTCGCGCAAAACCCGAACCTCCGAACACGAGGCTCGACCTCGACAATCTCTTATCACGACAACAAAGCCTTTAAGTCGTCTCGCAACTCCAGCTGCCTCCATTCTGCCCTCGAACCCGTCTATCGTCCCTGAGATCAGTCGCGGAGCGATTGGCATCCTCCATCGAGGACAATCGTAGTGCGTAGGCTCTCGAGTTGCACGGCATTCAACAATGTCTGATTGTGCGCACGGGGGGCTGCTATACGCGAACGGCTTCCTTCGGGGAAAACGATTCCAATTTTATCGACGAACCAGCCTGCAAGAGTTCTCCGAGGGTCGGCTTCTTTAACTCTCTATTGGACGAACGCGTTGCGAGAAGTCACGTAGACCGATAGTCCGAAAAATCCAATATCGTCGAACGAGTTCGATGAGTTTGGATAAAAACAGATAGAAAACTTTTCAAGAGAATAAAATTACGGTTTTAAAAAAATACGAAGAATCGGAGAACTCGATTTCGTTTACTCGTTTCGTTTCCCCGAGTATGAAACACCGAGAGAAATTCGACGTCGACGATCGAGCGAGATTAAACGAGATGGAACGTTCTAACGGAAGACATCTCTGTTCTCGTGCGATTCGGAACAAAGAGATAGCACGGGTCGAGGAGCGAAAGCTGGTGTGCGAGAGACACGAGAGAAGAGCGATTCAGAGAAACAACCTTGTCGATGAAAGATCCAAAGCAAACAGCGCGAGAACGATACGAGCAGGAATAATGCTCGATTCGGGCTTGAAGCGAGAACTAGTAGTTGGACGTTCACGAACAGACTGACTGATTGAATGTTCCCAGAAGAAGAGAGAGATACGGGCCTCCTCTCTCGTTTGATGATGATGATGATAATACTCGGTGCGAGAAAGCGAGGGAAATATGCCTCTAAGTGTGGAGAGTATAACTCGTAGAGAAGGAGGAAGCGAAGCGGAGGCGCGTGCGTCGCGTTCGACAGCTCGGAGCAGAGTGAGCGTAGCTGCCTCGACGCCGCGTCGATGACGATTCCGTTCGGCGCCGCTACTCGGTCACCTTCGGCTCGCCTCGGTTCTCTCCTCTGCACTAGTGAAGGGTACACGCGTACTTTATACGTAGGAGTATGCGTGTTTGTGAATGTGTAATACAGTGTATAGTGCTACGAAACGCGGTGGTTCTCAACGGCCGATCGAACGGAATTCAACTCCGCACGATCAATCTTCGCCTCTATTTTCGGCCTTTTTCCCAAAACTCTCGTTCCTGCGGATGCCTCCAACATTCAACACGAATATTTATCCGAAACGTACAGAGGAAACCTACCTACCTACACCTACCTATCGAAGGTAACACGAACGGTGGGCGCGAGTGAATGGTGTTTTCACATTTTTTTTTTTCCAACGGTCAATCATTGATCACATCGATGAAATTCCGCGGCCTTTATAGAGATAATTCTATTTTCTGCGCACTCTTATACGTGGCCGATCGAGACACACTGCGCGTAGGTTACGCCTACGCGTATATACACGCGTGTAAAATTAACGATTGGTATTATTAACTTTTCTAGACTAAGTACATAGTGTCTTAGACTTCTTTTCGCTCTCTTTTCTAAAACACAACTGAGAAAGAGACGTTAAGCATAGTTCATTATAAAAAGTATAATTATCAAGTAGCTTTCGAATACCGTTGAAGCATGTAATTGAATTTTTTTCGATGTAGAGCAGAATATTCATTGCAAAGTCGGCAAAACGGTTGGGGAAAAAATAAGAAGCGTCGTAGACATGTAACGATTCAACATCCAATAGTTTTTAAATTATTTAAATTAACCTCCTTACACTTGCTCGCCGACAGTCGACGATTATCGTGCGATCATCGGTGAAAAGGTTGATCACAACATTGTACGCAACGACACTCTCTGTTTATCCACAAGGAATTCTAGGCCTTCGTATACCTCTATCAAACTCCGATTCAAAAGTCCTTACTTATAAATACAGGAAATAGGAAGATTCCCGCGTGTAACTGCGGAGAATCATCGCGTATTATCGATTCGAACGATTGACCAGCCTCTGTGAAACATCCAAGGTAATGCCCGTGTTTGTCCAACGGGCTACGCGATATAACGTCTCGACTGCAACAACCGATCTCGTTTGAAAAAGAGAAAAGGAAAAAAAAAAAAACAAAAATGACAAAACCGATTTATACAAAAATGATACTCATGAAAACCACTGATACAGAGGATATTCACAGTATACCAAACAGGTTTCCATCGTTACATAAGCGAATGTACACCAAGTGACTATATCATTCTTATCATTACCCTTACATTCGACATTTCTGCTGGATTCGTTGCGGATCTCTCTCGATGATATCCAGAAATAAGAACATATATGAGGTTAGTTATCTTTTCGAGAAGATTCTATTAGTCGGATAAAATCGATTTCGAACGTTGAAAATTTATTATTCGAGTTTAATTCTATAAAGGTAGAAACAAAAATCGGTTAGTCGTCACCTAAATATTCGCACAACTATCCGGATGTTTGAAAATTCATGCGCGCAACACGATCCTCGGTTCTTGCTCCAACGTAATGCATTTTAAAAGTAGAAAGTCCTGCATAGGTGGCGTTGCTTGCAGAATTGGCGCGGTATTGTCTACGAACACTCCAGCTCTCTCTTTCGCGATCTCTCCTCTCCTTTCCTCTCTTCCATCCTCTTTCTTTATCTCCTCTCTATCGTTCTATCTTTCTCCGCCTCGATTTTCTTCCTTCGTTTCTCACATTTATATTTTTCTTTCTCTTTATCACACACACACGCGCGCGTCCCTCTCACGGATGAGGTTCAACGAACGAGAGAGCGTGGCGCTTGCGCGGGGCTGCACGACTGCCGTAATTGTCGCTACGCTGCGAAAGTAGAAGGCGTACAGCGACAACCCTGTGCTCGTCTCCTTTCAGTCTTTCTCTCTGTTTTTTCCTCCCCCGTTTTCCTTTTTTTTTCTCTCCACTCCTTCTTCTTCGCCTTTTTTTCTGTCTTCTTCTTTTTTCACAAGAAAGTAATGGTACATTCATGCAGCGACAAAATATCAAAAAAACGGAGTCGAGCGAAAAAAAACTCTCACCCCTACGCGACCGACACTCACGTTATAGTATCTTCTTTCTCTCAATGTCTTTCGCACGAATTTTTCGCCTCTGCATTAACCTACAGAAGGAACACGGAGACTCGATCCTGTTACCATGGCTTCAACATTCGTCGCTTTGCAAATGTTCGTGTTGAATGTGAACGTTAAAATTTGAAAGAAAGAAAAAAAAACTATCTTCGATAATTTTTGCGTTAAAAAAATATGAGAAAAACGGAAAGATTTAAAATTTGAAAATTTCAATTTTATATGATTTTTATCTTCTTTCTCGTCCATAGAACGACGCACAACCATCATTGATTTTGGAAGAGATAGGATGGAAATGAATCTCGCTTTCTCCCCCTCTTCTCTCTCTCTCTC